TCAATATTAACAATCGACTAAATCCAGAACTAAAAATCAAACCAATGTATAGTCTATATATTTGGGGTTTTATATCAATAAAGAACCTAAATTCCTCTTAAGTATTTAACAATTTATTAAATTTGATTTCATTTACGTAAAATTCTTCAAAATGAAATTATTTTGATTTTAACAAAATAATATTTATGTAGTTATATAACCGCACTTCTGTTATCATTACAAATATAAAAAAAAAAAAAAATTTATAAAAAAATTTTAAAAATACCATCATACGAGTATAAAATTTTAATCGCATATTCTGTACCCGCGCATAAGGCGCCACCACTTTATCTATTATATCCTTTTTTCTTTTATCCTTATAACAATAAAACAATATACAAAATTTCTATTTATAATTCTATTAAAGAAATTTTTATATTAATTTGTAAGCAAGACATAAACTGTTATATGCGTATATAAAAATATTAATTTTAAAATAAGATGAAAATTTGAAATATTTCTTTAAATATAAAGAAGAAAAAATTATTAAATTTTTTTTTGTTATTCAAATTACTTCTAAATTTATTTTAACGTTTGTAATATTACGTTGTGTTAATAGAAATCCGTAATTACCGTAATTTTGTCTTTTTTCCTGCATTCCTTCTCCCTCTTGTTATATTAATGGAATAAAGAATTCCCCTAATTCAGAAATAGATTAAAAAATTAAATGATATAAATGAAAAATAAGAAGATATTTTCAAGACTTCTGTTTGTTTTCAGAATTTCTAGAATCTGCAACTCTTTATAATATTCACAATTCACGCAGTTTTAAAGAAAATATACAAAATACAAAATCTCTAAATTTTGAAGCTCGATAAGCAAAAAAATCAAAAAGAAAACAAAGAATTCTTTTCCTTCTAACTGACTAATTTACCGAGTTTTTCGAATATTTCGTGATTTTATTGCATTACTGTTTTTAATAACACAATATTGCACATTATAAACTTCTAAACTTCGGATTTTGCGTACACCTTTAATATCCCAAAGACAAAAGTGACAACGCTCTTCACCTTTTACATTTTTTTTCCTCTTAAAGATACCATCTTAGTGGTTTATCGATAATTTAATTTCTTTTCATTTTTTTTTTCACATTTTAAATTTAATATTTTTTTTTTTTAATATTTAATTTGTAGACCCTTTTCTTTTATTTTGAAATATAAAGAAAATATTATATTAGATAACATATTCAAGAAGCGTATTAACTATCATCATATTTTTCTTTGTATTATACATATATATATATATTACAAATTTATTATCGACTGAAGACCCTTTACTGCTGCACTATATTAAAACCTTTTTAATATTAAAATGAAACCTTTCTATTTTTTTTTTGTGTTTTTTTTTTCTTTTGCTCTTTTCAGAGTATCAATTTAAAGGATATATAATAAAATATATCAGGTAAGTTAATATTAACAATGTAAAAATAAATTGAACATATATACTCGTATATTTCATACGAGTATATATCTATATTATATTTTACAAGATTTTTCCAGTTCATGAACAGGTATACATATAATCTAATAAATAACAAAAACAAAAAAATGAAAATAGCAAAAGAGAATACTGGGTAGATACATTACTCAATTGATTATACATACTGTAAAACAAAAACAAAAAATGAAAAGCGAAAAGCGAAAGAGAATAAAAAAAGAGTAGTAATATTTTTTTTGTTTTTTTGCTTTACTACCACCATAAACAAAAATAAAAAGCAAAAGGAAGCGAAATATTTTAAATGAGTTAAGAAAGAGTAAAATAATTTTTTGTTGTTGTATTTAATATGGAATGGAATTAAAAAAAATAAAACTAACAATTGTGAGAGATATTAGAACACGAATAATGTTACGTTACGTACTTATCTAGATAACGTTGTTTAGAAGGAAATTTTTCGTTCTTAATTGTTAACTAATTCTTAAATTGAATTTTAATATCTATGTAATTAACAGTGACACATATTACATCTTAAAATTTATTAAATTAAAAATATTTCCATTACTTTTATTTATCATTAGTATTCAAACCAATATGATATTTATGCATATACAAGTATATACCTGCATATGTATGCCATAACATTTACAAATTTTTCTAAACTTATTTTAAAATTGATTGCCACAATCCTGTTTTTACAACAGATAATGCTGCTTATAAGCAAACCACAGGGGCCCCTAGTACATATGTATTAAATAACTGTATGGCAGCAATAAGCGGATAAAGGTGAAGGTAAATATCATAAATATATGTATGCATATGAAGTATATGAGTATCATATTACATTTATTGGTTATCATCATAAAGTAGTAGAATTTCATTTCATTTAATTTCATTTATTCGATTTTATATACGTATATACATATATACAATAATATATCCCCTCTTATAATATTATGGTATTGCTTTCATATTGTATTATAAAATAGTCAATAATAATTTATCAGATATAAATCTTTTAGCTAAGATGCAATATACTAAAATATTTTTTTTTTAGATTTTATGGAGTACTAATAGTATATTTATATATATAGAGAGTAAATAACAAAATAAAATGGTACATATATAAAATTATCTATATAGCTTATTATATATGTAGAAGAATAGTCAATTTTCATTACTATTACTCGTATATTTATCAAATAGATTTAATAAAAATAAAAAATTGCTAAGTACCTATATAAAACTATTTAATAAAACTGCAATGGACAAAAGATTATATGAGAAAAAAATAATATATAAGTGATTAGATAAAGTTTAACTAAATTTTTTGAACTTAACCCTTAAATAAAACTATTATACAAAGCTTATATTCAACTCCTGGTTAATAAAATAAAAATAAAAATATATGCATGTGTGTGTACAATAAAACAAAACAATTTTCAAAATTAAATTCTTTTATATAAGAATTGCCAATATACACTTCAAAGTTTCCAAGATAACCCCATTAGTATAACCACTTAACAGAACGTTAACATTGCCATTTATGTTATTTCTTAAAGGCAAAAGTTTCCCTTAAAAGGTATTCTCTTAAAGAAGATTCAATTATTCTTATTGTAATAGAATTTGGGAATTGATTTTAATATTTAATTTTTTTTTTCTGAAATTTATTTTTTAGCTACTCAAAATGCACAAATGTTGCCACTGTGAATCGGCAATATCAATAAAAGCTAAAATTTCTATACTAAATTTTTCTTCACGGTAACAAATAGTAATATTAATTCTAATATCGAAATTGCCATAATACAGTTTAATTGGACAATTCACATAATTATAATTGTTAAATACTTAATTATTTAGTAACAAAATATTCGAATGGGAAGGTGTGAGCTCTAATGTTTTTTAATGTTTTAGTAAATGTATTATTAATTGCTGAGAAATTTGGTTTTACCGTAAATTAAGCTGACAAATTTTCAAATATATAAAAGATTTATTTTGTCAATATCTCATTAGGGTAAGACACATGTTTCAGACCTATAACCGGAATCTACTGTGCAAATAAAAAAAAATTTTCAACTTTATATCATAAAATCATTGCTATACTATAATTTTTTACTTCAAATCCCGGCTTATTTGAGGTTGATATTTATGCTCTAACCGATATACAGTAATTCCTTACATAAAGTCATCTCCATATTGACTCACTTCAAATCTTTTAAACCTCGACAACATAATAACCTTTTAATATTACAATTGCATTTAATAATGCAGACACTTTCTGTAGTAACTACGGTAAATTTTCAAAATTAAAAAAAACCATTCAATTAATGAAAGATAAAGTATACCGATTCAATAATATAAGAATTGGTTTTCTTGTTCAATAATTTTCAATCTAAATTAAATGCGATCTAAATTGTATATCCTATACTTAAAATTGTATTCAAAATATTAACACAACTTTTGCGGCATTTTATTAAAAAAAAAAAATCATATTTACATACATATGTATATATGTATATATTATGCCAACGAAGGATATGAAAACTTTAACATTCATCTATACTATTTCGGTTAACAAACTATTGATTCCATATAAAATTTTTAACCCTGTTTTCAAGGTAATCTTCTTAAATTCTATTACATAGCATTTAAAAACACATGAATCCGTATACACAATCTTAATTTTATTGACTTAAAAACCTTAAAATCAGCATGACATATATAAAATAGAAATCCGAAAATTTTGAAATAAAAATTAAGTTTTTATGAATTAGAAAGTTGAAGAATATTCAAAAAAAAATCACAGGAAAATAGTTAACACAATAAAAAATATTGTCAGCACGATTACATTGTTAAAATAAACGAAATGAAGACACAATTAACATAAAAAATTTAAAGAATTTCAAAAGTAGACAACGGGACATTTTTATTGTTATCGAAATTAAGTTAAAAAACCAAAAAATTTCAACCATCAAACCAAAGAAGAAGAAAACTAACCGAACTCCTACGGTTCACTCTAAAAAAATTTTATTACCATAATAAATTTCAGTTTCAGAAATCACACTATATTATACTACTCCTTTTTTATTATCCTTGTTATCCCCAATTCAATTAAAAAGAAATTTATTAGTTTTTGGTGATAATTTTAACAAAACAAAAAAACAGAAGAAGAGAAAAATGGGAATTTTATACTATCAATCTCAGTCCCACTTTAGAGATTGGATGTTAAAAAAAAATTATTTTTAATAAAATTCAAAATTTTTTTTATAATCCAAATTTTTCTTTTATAATTAAAAAAAATGGTACGAGTACTACACTACCAAAAAAAAAAAAAAAGAAATGAATTTCTTTCTTATTTTTTCTTATTTTCGATTCTATACAAAACACAATTATTCTATATACTGGTAAATGTTCTAAATATTTTAAACTATGCAACTAAAAGCTTCTAATTATACTAAAGATAATTATGCTACGTATTTTTAAAATTTAAAAAAAATATACATATAAGCTATTCATTATATAAAAATTTAGAAAATAAATCTAGCTGGAGCAGCAGCATATTTGGCAAAAAGTGGTCCACTAAACGAACTGTATAATGGTAATGGTGCACCATATGATAATGGTGTAGCTATTTTAGTAACTGGTGCTGGTATTGCTACTGGTGCTGGTAATGCTGCTGGTAATGGAATTGGTGATGCAAATGATACTGCATGATGATGATGATGTACTGGTACTGGTAATGGAGCTGGTACTGCGAATGGTAATGGAGCTGGTATTGCAACTGGTGCTGGTGCTGGTACTGCTAAAGCATGATGTATTTGATGTGTATGAGCTGAGAAACCTGTTGTAACAACTGGTGGTGGTGATAATGCTATCGGTGGTGGTAATGCAACTGGACCAGCTGGTAATGCAAATGGTGCCGGTAATCCAATTGGTCCTGCTGCAAATGATAATGGTCCCAATATACCAGATGGTTTAGCTGTTACACAAACTGCTAATAATAAAATAGTTGCACACTACAAAAAAAAAAAAATGAACAAGTTTTTGAAATTAATCCTTTAAATTTTTTAATTTTTTATTCACTCTTACGTATTTGAACATTTTTCCAAAATTTAATTAAATTGTGTTTTTTTAAAAAATTGTTTTTCTTAAAACCTTAAAGGTCTATTCAATAGAAATGCAATTGGTAAAGTACGATTAATTGAACGAATGGACTGGCTTTTTATATCATCAAAATGAAATTAAAAATAAATTGGAGAAGTAAAACTAAAATTAAAAGAAATTTTAAATTTTGCCTTTTTGGTTTTCTGTTTTGCTTATTTTACAATTGAATTTCCGTATACAATATCATCGATAGTGTAAACAGTCTCGAGTAAAATTACAATACTTAAGAAATAAAACGCGCCTAGAATATTTGATTAATCGCAATATTAAACGATTAGCGTTAATGGGTAGCAAAAAAAAATCAATTCGATTGTTTAAATTTTTTATACGCTAAAAATTTCTTTTATTAAAATTTTTTCTGGTTTTTTTTTCTTCTTTCTTTATGGTCAAACAACATAGTCGTGCGTACAATTTTATTTTCGCTCATTATGAATTGAGAAATTAATAATTATTTTTGATTAATTTTAATTTTATGTAAGTCTTCGCCATTTGAATTCAATATGAGAGAGACTCCCATGTATACCTGCGTATACATGCATACATACATATATTTTTGATTGTTAAAAATTTGACAATTATTATGGTCAAAAAAATTAATTAATTAATTATATTATAACAAAAACTTCATTAACAAAATAGTTACTAATTTAAGTAAAATATTTTTTATGTAAAAAGCGATCAAAACCGGAAAAGTTCAAAGAATTTGAATGACATTTTTGTAGCACATTTTTGTTTTAATCGAAAAATATTTTTAGGAAATCATGCAATACTGCCATAAATTATGCATACTCGTATAAATGTATGCATGTACGTACACAATTAAAATAATTCAAATATTTTATTATTTAAAAATTTTAATAAAATTTTATTTCATTCGTATCGCATTTATTTATTGCAAAAACAATAAACTTTATAGCCCCTAGCTGGTACATACATTTTTGTTTAATTATTTCTGCAGTTTACCAATGTTAGGTTGAAACAGTCGACTTTAGCACAGTCGAATTCTGATATATATCCATTGATTTTTTGTCTAAATTAAACAGTTCGGCATTTGCAAATTAATTGCATTTATTAGATTTGCATTCACGCTTATAAAAAATTAAGAATATTGTGTTCAATATTTAATACAGAATTCTTTTTCATCTATTTAGACAAAATTCACACTATAGACTAATATTTGCGTATTTCTAAAATACTCTGATTCAGAGTCAAACTAATTAGTGTTGTAAATCATTTACAGAACATTCATATTTTCCTATATATTGTGAGAGAAACCTTAATAAAGTGATAGATAATCAATCAAATTATATACGATAATTTGAAATTCATAATTAAGAACATTACATTAATATTTATTATAATTTTAATAAAAAATTTTAACCCTCTTCCTTTCATTTTCCTTTTCTAATAAGTATTAGTAAGATGAGTAACGAGTTCCATAAAGAATATGTAGTAGACCTATACAACTATACTAATTAAAAATAAAATCTGTAAGCAAACAATAATTAATGAAAGGGTCATGAAAGGAATCAGCACCTCATTAAGTTAAAATTAACGACAATAATTAAAATTCTATTCTTATTTGCAAATGACCCTCCTTCCAAACCCGATCGAATGCGTTGCCTTAATTGACCGTTTTCAGCTAAATGTTTTTCTTTTTTGAAAACAAATGAAAAATTTTATTTAATTTCTAATTTTTTTGCATAATTTCTTTTTGTTTTATACTAATTATTTCTATTATACATATTTATACAATTAAATAATTTGATTTTCAATAATTATTATATAAATATCACTATATTATGCAAATATCTTAAACTATACACACAACACTAGTTATGCATATTTTAAGATTGACTAGAAAATCTTTATTAAATGAGTTTATTATACTAATTTCCATAATATATTTGTGACGTTAATTGATTGATTATATAATGGAATTTTCTTATAATAACCCCCTTTTTAAATAGTGTTAAAATTAATCAATCATTTCCATCCGTTATAATAATTTGTATAATTTCATAATATATGTATGTACATAAATCTATATACTCTTCAAATATATAAGTGTACTTATATATACAAGTTTATACAAAATTAATTAAATAATTCAATTATTAAAATTAGAAAATAACATTTAATTTATCTTTGAAATTAATAAGTTTTATTTGATATTAAAATCAAATCAATTCACAACTATAGGTCAAAAAATTTTATTTCTGTAAGTATTATAAAATAAAGTTTAATATTATTAATTGATAAAATTAATAAATTAGTGTCGTCATACTCAATGTCATAGATTGCCAGTTCCGTCTGGGCTATCGCCCATATCTTCAAACGAAGAATATTTAACGCCCTTATTTCTGAAAAAACTAATGACTTATAACAACCATTTCTCGCCTTATAACTATAAAAATTTGACGGTAGTCAGTAAGTTCAAGCTTCTTTATGTTTCTTTACATTAAGAACAGCTTCTTTATGTTTGAACTTATACCGTTCTTTAAAGTTTATTAAACGTTTATATACCGTTCTCTAAAATGGCCTACATATAGGCATCTTTGATTACAAATAATAGGCTTTTCACCAGTTCTTTGGTGAACCGCTACTTTATATCGTAAACTGTAAATCTAACTACAGTCGTACCAACGATTGCTACTTGAAAATATCATTATCTTTTATTGTCTTTAGAGATTTTTCGTATTCGTCATTGAAAGCCAGACTTATTAACTTAAAAAAAAAAAATTGAAAACAGCAATTTTTGTTTTTTGAAAATTTCAGTACAAATAACCTAAGAATATTAGTCATAGGTACCATACAGAAGTTAAAAATCATGTTTACAAGAAAATTCTGCACATTGTATCAAGCTGTGCACATAAATAAAATGTACACTAGCGCTACGGGTACACAAAACAATGAAGTAACAGTGAAATTTTTTTGTTATTAAAAATTCTACCAAAAATTTTACATCTAATCAAACTACCTGAAAACTGTTTACTTTTTTATTCTTACTAATTTTATAAGAATATTAATAGGTGGTAAACTATTAACCTCAGTTAAAATTAAAATAATTTTTTATGCACACCTACCAATTCCAAATATTATTTTAGTATTTTAAACAAAAACATTATAAAAAATTGCAAAACACCCAAGAAAAAAAAAATCTTTTTAATTGTTTTTAAAACCATACACACAACATTGCGTTGCCTCAAAAAACAAAACGACAATATTTTCTATTTTTATATTTCGACACAATAAACACATACAGGCACATAAACAAGTAGAATTAAAAATAATTGTTGTATATCCTATAAATACATATTTGTTACGCTCATTTCAAAGTGTTAAAAACAACAATATTTAGGCCAAAACTATTTTTACATTTCTATATGAGTATGTGTTCAATTTAACCAAAGATATTTTCGGTTTGATTATAATTTTAAGATCAGGTAGTTAAATGTGTGTATATAACTGATTTGTTACAGATCCTTTTTCAAGTAAAAAAAATATCCTTAAATGGTATGTGAATTTCTATTTTTCTATTTCTTGTTATTGATGTATGTAATTACACAGAGCGCAAAAATATAATCAAATACCGAGTCAAAGATATTTTAGAAATTTTTCTTTACATTAAAAATTTTCCCGCTCATATTATGAAAACAAAGAAGGTGTTTTTATAGTCGAGCAGTTTTTGCTTCATTTCTGGCGAATTTTTTTTTAACAAAACTTGAAGTGGTATAATTGCCATTAAGATTTTAGCATAACTTTTAATAAGAAAAAGAAGTCATCTGCTTATATGACTAGTTTTGACGTCTGTCAAGTATTGTTGTATAAACTTTGATAAAATTTTTGTTAATGCAACTAATTTGTTTCCGCTATGATTAAAAGCATACATCTATACACTTTATTTTTACATAAAAGCAGATTTAGATCAGTCAAAAAAAAGACACGGGTGCGTTTTTACGAATAGGTACGAAAAAAATTTTCAAAAAATTTACAGAACACATGTGCTACTACAAATTATTAAATTTGAAACATCATTAAATTACAGAATAAATTAAATCATTACCGTTTTTAAAAATCAAAGCTCTCACATTACAAAATTTTTTGAACTGATCAGACCGTGAGCTAACAAAAAATCAAAAACCGGGAAAATTACGCAAGAAAGGTAACATTGTTTTCTTTTCTTTAATATTATTTTCTGCAACAATTTTTGAAGTTTTTATAAGGTCTAAGAAATTCGAAATGATCCGAATCAAAAATATTTTACAATTGTAATGCTTCATTAATTCTCGGTTCGCCACAAAATATTTTAGCATCTTATATTTTTCTTTAAAGAAAAAAAAATTCTGTCGTTTTTACAACCGCATTAAATTGCAAAAATCTTCTTGCGTTTCATTTTATTTTTTGTTTATTTTTTCAGTTTTGCTTTTCTTTTATTTATTTTCAAGTTAAATTCCACTATTATAGTTATTTTTTTTTTTTTGTTGTTGTTCAATCAATGTACATGCTCATACATACGATACGATCCCATTGTGATTTTATATTGTAGAAGAGAAAAAGATTCTTTTTAAGAAGGTCAACAATAGAATTTTAAAATTTTACATTGAAAATTCTGGCAACCGTAAAATCATTGGCATATGTTAAAAATTTTTAAACTCCTCAATATCATGTAAAACTTGAAAATTTTTAAAATTGAATTTAAAAAAAAAAAAATTTTAAAAATTCAAAAATATATTCAAAAATAAGGAAATAATGACTTTAATGTCATCTATTTCAACTATAGGATATGTGGCCAAAAAGAGCACGATTATTAACTAGAACTGCATTACCCTAGAACTACAATACAATTAGATTAGATTAGACATGATCAAGAAGTGGATCAATTGTTTCCGACAAATTCGAGTGTCCTATCCTTCCGACAAATTCAAGTATCTTGTGGGGGCCGATTGCAGCTCTTTTTCTGCGAAGACGTATCGAATCAGAGGCTCCCTTCTGCTGTAGATCGACACTGCACACTCACCGAGAAGGTCGAAGTCTCCTCCATTTCCCCGAAGAACCTGCAAGTGCCTTCGCCTTCCAGGTGCAACCTTATGCGACTCCTGGGACTGCAGACTTTGTTAAGCAAATAATAAACATGAATGGCGCACTTGTTAGGTAGGAAATATACATGAAGCTAATCAAAGGAATACTCAGTAGGTGCACGTGTACTTCATACAAAACAATAAAAAATATTTAGTTGATTTCCGTCATTATTTACGTAACGTAAACGAAATATTAGATTTTTTATACCATTTAAATTAAGAACATGCGTAAATAAAAATATATGTGGAATTTTTTTGTTTATAGTATGGCTCTTAATGATGTTCTGATTATATTCAACTTAAAATTTATAAATGCATACTAATGTTGAACCACTTAAATGCCTACCCCAAATGGAATGATTACAAAAGAATTTTAGAATAATTCATAATTTTAATTCCTTCGGTTTTTTTTTTTAATTAAATAAAAATTATTTTGAAATTTTTTAACTTTATAAAATGAAATTCTTTAAAAGGCTCTCATTATTTTTCTGTTATAAAATTAAAAGATTGAATTATTTTTTAAATCTTATATTTTTCAATCTTAAAAAATAAAATTCGATCATGCAGTAAATTAATTTCGTTGTAATAGAAAATATTGAATTGTTGAGATTAGGAAATATCACATCAATAATGCACTATTCTTCAATTTTCTGGGGGTTATCACTATCAGCTCAATTAAGTTCCATATGGGACGGATCCCATAACGCTATCTAACTTGTTTTAGTTTTAAAAAGTATTAGCTAAGAACACAATGTGGTTGCATCATCAAAACTAAGAGCCAATAAAAGCTAGTGACTTGTTACATATGCTTATATTAACTTCTAATGTGTTTCCCTTTAATGGAACAGAGTCAATTTCTTCCGTACCCCCCTCCTATTTCTTCCGTTACACATTTTCACAAAATATCAAATAAATTACTGCTCTAAAAATACAAATGACAGTAAATGTCCAAACCGTCTCTCATTCTTTCTCTTTTTTAGAGCATTTTGCAATACATGAACAATAACTAACCAGATTTATTTTTCGATGTTCCAAATTGTATTGTAAATGGCATTTAATTATTCAAATAAAATTAACAAAAACTTAAAAATTTCGATATAATCGCAATTTGAGTTCTGTATCTAAAAGGACAAGGCCCCGCCAATTTTTAGTTCTATCACCTTCCGCTTGGAATTGGAAATGGAAATTCAAATTTTAACTTCGTTGTCGCGCAGCAAATTGGGAAGAATTCATATAAAGTGTTTGTAGCACTATAAATTTTGATAACAGTTTTACAGCGTACTACATACATTTAGGTACAGCACTTTAAAATTCACAAAATCTAGAAAACTGCACCACATTAATAGCCTCTTTTAATACTTCACCAAACAATATTGAAAGTCGAACTGATATTTTATGTTTATATTATGTGAAATTATGAAACTAAAATGATTTCAAATTTAAAAAAATTTTAAGACACCCATTATAAGAAAACAATTTAAAATAAGAATGGCATTAATCAACAAAAAGAAAATTAAAAATTTCTCAATAATAACAACGTAAAATCAATTTTAAATTTTTTTATTTAAATTATACGGAAGTTCATAAAGGTCATCGAAAAAATTTTTTTTCTTTCTCTTAAAAAAAAAATTGATAAATTCTGAATTTTTGTTTTTTTTTTTGACTCAAAAAATCGCAACATTTTAATCATAAATAATATTTTTTTTACTGGTTTTCGTTTAAATATAAGGGAAATGCATAAGATACAATTTGTATGTGTGTGTATGTGAAAATATTCAGAAAAATATCTCGAATAAATAAATATTTTATACACCTTTATTAAGCATTATATAAAAGTAAAAGCCTTTTTTTTTTTAAATAAACCATTAAGGATTTCAGAAAGGCTCATGTTTTATTCAAAAACACATTCTAAAAAAAATACTATACATAAATAATATGAAAATGCGAAAAAATTGGAAAAAATAAAAGAAAAAAAGTAAGCGAGTAAAAAGTCATGTTTAAATAAAAATGTTACATTCCATTACTTTGTGAAATATTCATTTAACTATTGTTTATGTTATATAACAATAAATGTTAACTATCATTTATGAATAAACTACCATCCTCAGTATATCTAAATTGATATTGATAACTTAAATTTTTCCTGCAATATTGTTTCATATTCCTGCAATATTGATTTATTCTATAGTCATTTGGTTTTTCATGTTTCTATTTTGGATGCACTTGCACGCGTAATTTTATATCATTACTAATATCAAATCAACACAGTTTGCTTCTCTATTACGCCATATATAAAATCTGCATTGTAACAATGCCCTCACATTAAGAATGTTTAAAAAAAAACAAAATTTTAAATTTTGTTCGGTATGAACAATTAATTGCATTAATTTTAAGCCTGTCATTTCGGATAATTGAAATTGTGCCATTTGACTCTGTCGAGATTATGCGTGTCTCTTATTTCATTGGTAAATAAATTCTCCTCTTTTGGTTTTCATAGATTTGGCATGGATTATAACTTTAGAAAAATATACTGAACTTATATTTAGAAATATTCTGTACAAAATTTATGAAGAACTTGTTTCAAATTTAACAATTGAAACGTTATCGTCTACAACCAAATGCATACTCACATGAAATTATATTGAAAAAGCAAAACGGCAACGAAAAAACTTCAAGAATCATCCATTATTATAAGCAAAACATAATATTCATCTAATTCTTACTGGTTAAACTGCTATTTTTTAGTACCTGTATAAGGTTACGCTCTTCTATTATGTGCAGCTGCTAATTTTAAATTAAAAATTTTTCAAAATATTTATTATGAATTTTATTTAGAATTGAAATTATTAGTAAAGATTTCATTAAAATTTAGAAATTGTTTGATTAATAAATTATAAAATGTCTAATGAAAAAAAAAATTCAAAATAAATTTTTAAATAATTTCTATGAATTCGATACCTATGTACATATGTACATAATATAGTAAATATGAAAAATTTGACATTTACCACAAAATACAAACATATATTGCCTTTAAAAATTCGAAAATTTTAAGTATTGAGAAACAATGTGAACATACTAATTTCAAATTCATCTAATTAACTAAAAAGAAAAAGGTAATTTTTGAAATTTAATTACATACTTAATATTGTTTACATTTTACAACAATTTACTGAAAATCACCAATAAGTCCAGATATCGAATTTATGATATTATTTAGGCATGCCACTCAAACATTAATTCTTATCATATTTTTTCCTGATTTTTTCTATTAATTTCTTTTCTATTTATTTTAGGGCTTTTGTAATGTATAGGTGGTTCCAGATAAGTAGCTTCATGTTTTGCGATGACATAGCCTATGATGAGACAAGAAGTTTTTGTTCTACTGCTTATGACCATAATATCCATAAGGATCTTTAGAGGTAACAAATTTTTCAAAGCTTATCAGTGCTAAAACAAAAAATTAACAGTTCCCAAGTCAACAGAAGATCAAATTAAAGGCATGTAAAGTCATATGTCATAGAACATAATCGCTCTAGACGGTTTCGATGAAAGTTTCTGAAAAAAAATTAATATTCATTTTGTAAAATAAAGGTTCTTTTTCGAAAATGACTGCCACTAAAATGTATATTTTTTTTCCTTTTTCACTCCTAGAAGGAGCATGGGGCTAGTACATGATATCGTAGATAGTCATGCCCCAGTTTCATTGCGTCAAATATATATAATTTTTTTCTTACCTTCAATCTGGTAACACAGGTAATTATAGTCTTTCAAGATCATTTTGACCAAAAGTGATAAGATAAAAGTTTCTTGTTTCATCGAGGCTACGACGTCACAAGCCACCATCTGGAACAACTTATTCGCTACAATTTCCTATTTCAGTTTTTTTTTTAATCTGTTTTGAATAAAATTGTACAAAAGATTGTTGTATATAATTTTGAATTTTACTTTAAAAATATATACTTAACTATATAAACTCAATTCTGGCCACCACTTAAGACTTAAAAGAATTCAGAAAACTCTACATACATACATTTTGTATAAAAAAAATCAATGAAAAATAATCACGCAAAAATTTTCATTAAAAAACCTAAAACATATTGATAGAAACTTGGAAAATAGGTGTATATTTTATGCATGTAAATTATATGTACATATACATAAAAATGTTTCTACGTATATATGTACCTTAGTATGTAGATATACAACTATATTATTTTAAATTCATCATTCATTTACACATACATATAAACATATAATAATTCTTCTTCAATTACATAAGAAAATGCATAACTGAAATAATATTACAATATTAATTTTTTCTTTAAATAAAAATAGGGTGCTTATTTTTGCAAAAAAAAAAAAAAATTAAAATTTTATTATTTGAGCAAAAATAACTTTATGAACCAGACCTTACAATACAATTAAGTTATTGGGCAAAGCACATTTTTAATTTGCACTTTAAAAAAAATTTTTATAATTTTATGCAGAATTTCTTGCACATGAGAATTGCAATTAGAATTGAACAAATAAATTGTTAACATTTTAAACCTTGAGCATTAAACTTTAGAATTAAAAATAGATTTTCTTGGATGCCTTGGAGATATTCGATAATTCAGTTCCAACTTAGGTCTTAATATAAAGCACGTTCGACAAGTCTGAACTGCAAAATGTGCCAAAATACCATGTTCGAAAATGGCAGTTGTACTTAAAGTTCTAAAGGAATTTTTAAGTTTCTTTATAACTATGTATGTGTACTGCAAAAATATTATTAATTAGAAGAAGAGCATAATAGAAGAATTACTCGAGTATGTTATACAAATCAAAAAGTAAAATATTCAATTTCTACTGATTTGTAAGAATTTGTGAAAAAACTTTTAAGATTTAATTTATAAATTTTAGTACAAGTTTGAATTATCAACAATCCTTTAGATTTTCTGTAAATTTTTTCATTCTTAATTTT